ATATATATATATATATATATATATTTCCTTAGATTAAGAGTTATTTTCTTTTTTAATTTAGGTTTTCCTATTTTATGTTATTTCCTTATCTTTAAATAGTTAATATGATTTGAATATTGAAGATATTAGGTGATATTTTTTTTCTTTTCATGTTATTTCTTTTTATTATCTTTCCTATTCTAGGATTTATTCTAGGATTTATGTAAGGGTAGGATTTATGTAAGGGTTATTTATACCCCCTTTCATATTAATGAAATTATTCGAAATTCCGCTTTATTTCGCATTATTTTGAATTTTAACTTGGTATCAGAGCCAAATTTTTCATATCCTAGTTGTTGGTTCTCCTTCTAGAACCATTGGACTCCCATCCTGTCATCCTTCGTTCGGAAAAGGAGTGGCATTCGTCTTGGTATTTTGAAACAGCAATTTTTTCTTCTCTTCCTGCAGCCGCCGAGCTCCTCTACAGCAGCCACCTGCTTTAACTACAGAGCCTCATATAGTTATTTCCTAGCAGTAGTCCCCTCTGTGTTTGCAGGGGAAACATCTTCCGTCGGTTTCCAACACAGCCCTTTTTGAGCTCTCTACTATCTCTCAGCTCTCGTGTGTGGTTTCATATTTCATACAGGATTTTGGGATCAAGAAATTGATCGAGGTCTAGGGATTTAAAGTTCTGTCTCAATCAAGAAGGCTCGGGATCACATTGAATCTTCTAAATGTGAAGATTGACGCTTTGACAGAGCTGTTACAGCTATGATTTGGAGTTTGTGGTGTACAGTGTGTAGGATCCTGGAGATTTCATAGAGTTGTGCTTGAAAGTTGGAGATAGTGTTGCAAGCATTGTGTAGAGGTTCATTTATGGCTATGTTTCACATTTATCGTTCAGCTTATCGTTCAGCTTAAGAGGTTCATTTATGGCTATGTTTCACATTTATCGTCCAGCTTGTATCGTTCAGCTTATCGTTTTTTACTCTTCTGTTCATTGATGTCTCCTTTTTTTTTATTTTCCTCGAAGCATGACAATTGTTTCTAATTAGCACGCCATTCCTTACCAGAAAGATGGACAGAGTTCTCCTTATAGTCATAGTTGCAACTATTGGCAACTTGTTGCCGGGTTGGGACAATGCCACAATTGTTGGAGTTGTTATCTATATTAAAAGGGAATTTAAGCTACAAACACAGCCTACTAGTGAAGGATTAATCATCGCCATGTCACTTATCGGGGCTACTATCATTACTACTTTCTCTGAACCTGTTTCAGATCGATATGGGAGGCTTCCTATGCTGATTTTCTTATCAATCCTTTTTTTTTGTTAGCGGGGTGGTGATACTTTAGTCTCCAAATGTTTACACTCTCTTGGTGAGGCTCGTCGATGGATTTGGAGTTGGTTTGGCTGTTGCGCTCATTCCCATCTATATTTCTGAGATTTATCCACTGGAGATAGGAGGGCAGCTAACCTCCCTACAGTATTATTTGTTTGTAGGAATTACAACCGTTGTTGTCTACTTCCCTGCAAACTCCCCTACAGCATTACCTGTATGAGTCTTCCGCCTATCTACAGACACTACAGAAGCTGCAGTCAAAGACAACATTGGTATGGGATAAAGACTTTAAATTCTATCTTTCAGGATCTTCCTCGCTCTTTGTTTGGAGTTTTAAATCCAAGTTGAACATGGTTTTCAACCTTGTTTCAACTTGAGTGGTAGTGTTAGGAGTTATACTAGAAAATAATTTATTCATGTGAGAAATTATGAGGAATAAATTGTTCTTTTGGATTGAGGAGCTATTTCTATTCCTATTTTATATTTATTTTCTTAGATTAGGAGTTATTTTCTTTCATATTTTAGGTTTTCCTATTTTATATTATTTTTTTTATCTCCAAATAATTAATATAATTTGATTATTGGAGATACTAAGTGATATATATTTTCTTTTCAATTTTTTTTTTAATTATCTGTTCTATTTTAGGATTCTTGTAAGGGTTATGTATACCCCTTTCATATTAATGAAGTTATTCTGAATTCTGTTTTATTCCAGATTATTCTGAATTTCAATCTTTACAAATGGATGCTGCTATTAATTTCTTTTAAGGCCCTATGTGACAATGGTTTTGATTGAAATGGATATTAAAGATGTGGATTGGCTCATAGTTCTGTAGTTAGTCGTAGAAGGCAGTATTTGAAGGAATCAACCCCCACCCCCGCCTTTTAACATAATTTCTCCAAATGTTTTGATGCTCACTTTAATTTGAGACAATCTAATATTCAGACCTCGCCTACTGCCACAATGATTGTTACTTCTCCGTGATCATTTTAGATTTGCTCTCAAAATTTTGAACCAATTGACTTTTCTTAAGATTTTGAGACTATTGTGTTTTCCCCTAGTAGCACTACAGAGCAAGATAATGAAATTTGATTATTCGATTATCCACCCTCTTTCTCTCTCTTTCTCCCTCTCTCTTCTGTTGGTGAAGATATTAATAGTTATGATGCTCAACAACTTGATGATTTGAATGGGAGCATTATGAGTGATGACATTTTGGTTTATAGAGCTTTCAGATTCATTTATCAAATATGGCCGTACTATGAAAACAATATAGTTTCACTCCTATTTTAACCAGGCTTCAAGTAAAGCGATCTAGATGAGCTCTTTTTCTCATTTGATGTTTTTATTGTATTGTTGGTTATTTCATCATCTAGTTTTTGCTTCGTGTACTTGCTTTGTTGTATTTTTCTTCTTACTTTGACAATTCTGATATTTCTTTGGTCGTACTCGTATTATTTTCTTGGCACAATATTGTGCTTTATAAAAAAAAAATAGTAATGAAAAATATTTTTGTGTAGTATTCCTCGTCTAATCTATAGAAGAAATTCAAAGAAAATGGTATATCTAGCATTTTTTTTTCTCTCGAGTCAACACACTTTTAAATATCTTGTCAGTATAAACAAGAGTAAGTTATGAAATCACTGTTTTGATATAAATATGCTTCAATATTTCGTTTAAATTCTTTTTTATTTTGTTAGATGTATTAATGAATGGTCACTTAGCTCATTTCAAGCGACTTAAGCTATGCTTTGTATATATTTTTTATTCTTTTCAGCTTGATAGATGTTTCAGAGATAAGGTTGAAGCTGTCTTTAGAGACTTCACCAAATCAAAGGCCTCATGGTGCCCTTGGCATGTGGGGCCCAATATTGTCAGCTGTTGGGAACGCATTTAAACTTCAGGTTTGTTTTGACTTACTTCTTCCTAATAGACAATCATTTGTTCCTTCAAAGATTTACCAAACTATGATAAGTTTTGCTGGATGGTTTCTGATGCCTATGGTGCTGCATCTTCAATAGAAACGTTACTACAGTTTACCACTTCTTAAGGAAGTATGATAATCATATAAAAATGAAGTATCTTTGTGGGTTAAATGATAAGTTATGTCTACTCAAAACAATATTCTCTGTTGAAAACCCAGAGAAGAAAAACACCTTCTCTTTTTCCATTTTGTTTATATAGATTTTATAGGAGATACATAGCCCAATTAATATCCCAGGAATAGAAGTAAAAAAAAAAAATTATGTCGTAACTAACCTAATGAAGAAAAACAGGAAAGATTCATGCATGAGATGATACAGCAAATCCCTGAATATATGCATATTTTTATTCGCTTCTACATGGAAACTTGAAATCATTAGAAGATGAAAAGATTTGCTATTGTTGCATTAAACAGCTAACATTTCCTCCCAAAATGGAATTTTGGGATTTGTTGGGCCGGGCGAACGTCAGGCTTTAACTGCCAGACTTTCTGGAGTGGCTGATTCCTTTTTCATATCAAATAGGCATTTGAGAAATCTCATTAAGATACAGTTGATAATGTAAGACATTTTAGAAAGAAATTGAGATTAATCATCATCATTATTTAGCCTAAAGGAGGACATACTTGAATCAATTAGTCCAACATTATAATTTTGTTTATTTTTTTCATTCATTCAGAATTACTATATTTCAAGCTAGGTGTTGTACCTCTTTTGATGACTTCAATATTCCGGATTTGACTAGTATGCAAATGTGGCGTTTCCTTTCTCTTCATTGATGGATGGATGTATTTTGTTTCTTTTTTCATGCTAGCAGTTTTTTTGTGATTGCCTGTTCATATATCATCTGCTATTATAAAATTTTAGCATTGAAATAATAATAATAATAATTTAACATTACAAAACCCCTTTAGTTTCTATGTATGATCTTTGGCCACTTTCACTCTGATTACTTAAAAGCCCCTCCGGATTTTAAAAAATCAGAAGTTAAAGATAGTGTAGTTCATTCAAAAGGTCATAATAACCCTTTTTCAATGACTATCGCTTTCTGAATGAAGGTTTGTTCTTAAAATGAGACCATTTGATTCAATGGAAGCTACATCTGATGTATATGTCTTTACTATTCCTTCAGCTTCAGCATCTACATATCCTATAATTAGCATGGATTTTGATTCTCCTGCTTTAAATGTTCATCTCTCTCCTATTGGTTAAGACACAGAAGCTCATTATTCACAACTTTCTGATTCTAATGGGAGCATTATAAATGATGTCTAGTAGATTAGAGGTTTCATATCCTTTTAACCAGTTGAGGCTGTGATACAAAAAATATTTGTTGTCACTCCATTTTTCACTAAGCTTTAATGTAGGTGTTGACCTCATTTTTGAGGTCATTTCTTTTTTAGGGTCTTAGGATCTAGTTCTAGGAGTTCCTATTGACCATCTTAGGAAACTAGAATTGGGACCCACCCATTTTAGAAATTCCAGACACTTCTTATTCTCCTGTGATGTCTAGCATTTATGGCCCAGAACCATCATCTTATGTACGAGCGGTTAAGGGCTATTATATGAAGACTCGTTAAGGGCTATTATGTGAAGACTCAGGGAGAAATTTCCAATAAGATTTCAAGCCCTAGGATAACATCGTCACGACTTTTTCGTCACATACACACACCAAATGCACAAAATTGCACGAGATCAGACTTCAATTGAGCCTAAAGGACGGGTGAAAATGCGAACTTCTCCGGATGACCTCCGACGACAAATTAGATTGCGCCAACGCGTCCGGGATACCAATTTTGGTAGGAAATGACACCCATATTGTCATGTTTCCGGGACAAGCAAAAATGTCACGCAAATCGATGAATTCGTCAAAACAATTTTTGGTGGCGAAACAGACCGTGTCAGCGCGTCCAAAACGTCAGAATTACGTAAAAAGGACATCCAATTTGCAATGATTTTCACACACGAATTAAAATATGCAAATTAAATTTTTACTTTAAAAATTAAGTATTTTCATACTTATATTTTTAATTATATAATATTTATAAAACCTAATCTCTATTCACCTAACCCACTGCATTCGCCTGTTTCTTTTCCCTTCTTCGATCGAGAGCTGCTCTGGCGTGCCCTAACTCCCGCGACTCGTCTCCTAGGTGTGAATCGATCGAGCGGCACCATGGCTCGCTGAGCCCAATCTTCCTCCCCTGCGTTTGGTCTTTGCCACCTGGCCGACCCTTCTCCTTCTCGAGGCTATACGCTCTCCTCTTTATTGTGTCGATTCTGTCCCTCTCGTTCTATTCGGCCATGGAACGGTGGTTGGTGGCTTCTTCTCTTCTTTTCTCTGCCTATAAAACGTTTTTCTGATCTAATGTGTTGGGTTGTTAACATTCTTGTGAGAGAAAGAAAAGTTTTTTTTTTAGAGAAGAAGGCTTGGATCTTTACTGTTAGGAAAACTACTTCCTGTTTTTGTTATTCGAAGGGAGCTCTTCTTCCTCTCTGTTGGTCGATGCTCTTGTGATTGGAACTTGTTGAGTCGGAAGCTAGAAGCCGTAAGGTCCATTTGCGTGAGGCTTTTCAAAATAAAAATAAAAAATAAAAAAAAAATTGCTGCGAGGGTGTTTCTTTCAATTTGTTTTAGCACTCTGCTTTAAATCTGCATTAAAGAGGTATTCTTCTCCTCTCCTTTATTTGGTACTATTTCGGATGGCATGAAAATACTTCCTATCTCATGAGAAAGCAAGATTTGGGTATGTTTTGAAGTTTAAGCATGAATAATCTATGGAAATATATGGAGCATGATATTGGCTTTTTTTCTTTTCTTTTCTGCTTTACATACATGGAAAGCATGTTTAGGATCATTCTTACATGCAAATTTTTTTTATAATCCTGTCATTTCTATATCTATATGCGGGAATTTGCTGCGATGCTTTGGATAATGGTTTAAGATCCTACTTATGCTATTTTGCTTTCTGTTGTTTGTCCCTGTTCGAATTCGAAGCATACAATGCAAATTTTGGGTTTTGGTTTTGATGTTGCAAGGAGGATCTGTTTTGGCCCATATGGTAGGCTTGAGTCTAGTTCCTTTTGGATTAAATGTTAGCTGGAAAATTTTTTATGTTTTAGCACATTTTGGAGGGCTCGGTCTTAGCCTCATGATAGCTGGAAATTGCATTTTACTTAGCTTATTTGGTGTGTTCGGTTTGGGCTCTGTTTTGGTGATTTATTTTGGCTGAAATTTCTTACTATTTTGGATCTTCTCATGGACTTTGGTTTGATGCTTGGCTGTGAGCCTCATTTGGTGTTTACTACTTTAAGATTGTCCTCGGGTTTGTCCTTGGTGGCTGGGTTCGGGTTGGCCTTGTTGAGAGAATGGTTTGGTGGCTTTGTTGGCTTAATGGGCTTTGGTTTGCTGCTTAGCCGTGAGCCTCATTTGGTGTTCACTACTTTAAAGTTGTCCTCTGGTTTGTCCTTGGCCGCGAGTTAAATTTGAAGTTGGTTTATTGTCTTTGTGATACATGTCACCTTACCCGTGAGCTCTCCTCTCTCTTGGCATTACCCGTGAGCTCTCCTCTCTCTTGGCCTTATCTCTCTTGGTCTTACCCGTGAGCTCTCTTCTCTCTTTTGGCTTTACCCGTGAGTCATAATTTGTGATCTCTTGGTGGAATGGATTGAGCTAGTGGTTGTTTCTCTCTATTACCTTGGACACTTATATGGATAAGTTCATGTTTATGAAACTAAAAAAAAAAGATGAAAAGAAAAGTGTTTTTGCTTAAAAATGGAGTTGAATGGAATTGGTATTGGTATAGCTTTTGGAAATTTAGAAATTCATTCCCTATGGATTATTCTCTTTTGCTTGTGACATATGACAAGTTTTTGAAACTTTGTTTCAAGAAATTGTAAACTTGATATAATTTGAATTCATAAAGGGGTTTGGAAATTCATAAAATTATCACGCGTTGATTCATTTATGAAAAGTGAGAAAATGATATCTTTCTAAGATTGATTCAAGAACCTTGAGGCTTTATTTAATGAAAGTTCAAATTGCATTTTTGAAGCTTTATTCATTAAAATTTGATTTACATGTTGAGGCTTTCATATATCGATTTGAACATTTTAAGTGTTGATTGATCTCTTTTTTTTTTCCTTTTTTATGAATTTAAACGTCTTTAGACCGATGCATTCATGATTTCGTTTTAAGCTTTACTGATTTGACTTTGTTTTAAAAATGGATCGGTCTCTTTTTCACTTATATTATTTTCTTAACGGTCAAGTTAAAAATGAGAATTTTCAATTTAATTATCTTCAGAAATGATTCATGGTCTTAAGGGAAATATGAGGGAAAGGAAAAGGAGAGGAAATTAAAAATAGAATTTGGATCTTCAAGATGATAAAACCTAAAGAGGGGATAGAATAACGAACCATTTACCGTTCCTTTTTGCATATGAAAGATAAAATTGTAAATTGGAAGAATATTTGAGGGTTGGAAGAAAATGAGAGTTTAGATAACGATTAGGGACATGGATTGAAAGATCAGTAGACCTGCACTTAGGTCCCTTAAGCTTTGAATAAACTTAAACTCAATTGCTCTAATTAGGATTGAAGCACATTTCATAACCCTTTTGCCAAAACTATAGGTTTACCCTTTAGGTTTTAGGAGTCTGATAAGGAGTTAAGCTTGATCTAAGGATGTCCGAGATTTAGTTGAAAGACACTTTTAGTTGAAAGACACTTAATTGAAGTTAGACACTTTAGAACACTTCAGGCTCAAATTAAAGTGTAGGCTTCCTAGATCTTAGGAGTACACCTTGAAAGGGTTCATCCTTCTAATGTTCAAATGATCCTAAGAAGCCAGACATCTGACCCCAGTTCATGAGATAATTAGGACATTAGGCACGAGGGTGTACTAGATCGTGATTCATGACTGATTTAATTAAATCAAATAATAAAATTCTTGTCTTGACCAAAACTGAAACCCAATGCTCCGGGATTTGAGTTTGTCTTATACTCAAATCCTCCTGGCGATTGAGGACATCCCCAATATCACATATAAATCTCCTATTTTTGGTCATTTATATGTGATATTGTATTTTGTTTTATTTGTTTGTCTTTTTCCTACGATTTACCTGTTTTTCTCAAGTCTTTTTCAGGTCATACTTTATCCTTTTACACAATGCATAATAGTTAAACTTAAAGGAGCAATGAACATTTCAGTTGTACAGATTTAATTTACATTACAACATTTTATCTCACAGCATGTTATATTATTTTTATAGCCTGTTATACTATTTTTCAAGCATGTTATACTGCTCTTCCTAACACGTTGTACTCTTCTTTCAACATGCTATACTGTCTTTCCTCTCTATTGTATATTATATTGTTCTTTTCTTTCACATTGCATGTTTAATTATTTTGATACGCACTATGCCTTAGATTAGAAAAACCTAGTGGTTGTATAGGATTAAAATTAAACCAGGAGGTGATACTACGAGAAGCTTGGAGCGAACATCGTGGGTGGCATGACGAGGAACAACTTAAAGGTGGATTAGCAAAACATCAAAACACATCACATAAACATCTTCACATCACCTATCACTTCATTTAGTTTAAATAACAACTCATATGATCACATTTTAGGCTTTTGTACAACTCTGTTGTGCAATTATAAGTTCTAATACTTTAGGATTCCGAGGTTACCTTGCTTGCGGTATGGTGTAAATTCTCCTATCTTTTTAGGCTATTTGCACAGTCTGATATTGTGCAAATATAAGTCTTAAATTTTAAATAATTTGCAGGATTGAAATATCAAATTACATCATTTACAAAGACATAAAGCCAAACAATAGGATAGTTGGGAGTTCACCGGGGTTTTTCCCGGATCTGTGATATCCCCTGCTTTTCTTCCCTTTGGATTCTTTAAATAATTGTTATTATTTTGAGACACTCCCATTTAATTTTCCTATCTCCAATCTTGGAAACTTAAACTTTGAAATCTGGAAAGTAAAATCACTGATCTTAATCGAGAGTTTTCTTAAGTGACCCCAGTCATTTAAGATGTAATTAACTATAGGGGTTTGCCTCTATAGGGAATCTGGAACTCAGATAAAATAAATCCTATCTAATTTTTATGTTAGGTAGGAGAACTTGTTGGTCTTTTTTATAAAACATTTCACAGACCAAACGGATGTTACAAATTCTTTAGTCTAGGTGATTGAATTGTGATTGAATTAGGTGATTGAATTCCTATTACAAGTGATATATTTATTTCTTCGGGATAAGTGTCTTACTTATAGTATTATATTCAATCATCTAAACTATTTAAAATGTAAGACTCATTTGATCTCACCTATTTTAAATTAAAATGTTACTTTTAAAAATCAAAAAGATTTTTTTCATATTTAAATTATTTTCAAAATATCACAAAATTATCACTTTTTCAAATCACGAAGTTAAAAAAAAAACGGTCGACAGTAGGCTGGCCAATTGAGCTTGTACTCCATGTTATATATATTTTTGCCTCGTGTAATTTTTTCTCTAGCTATTTTTGTTAATCGTCTTTTATTTACCCCTTATCATTCGCTTGTTATAAAATATTGCTTTAAAATAATGATGTGCCTGTGCCGTTCATTGCAAATTGCTGCAATTTTTCAGTCCTTATATCTTAGATATGATTTAGTACTGATTTTATTTTGATCGTACGCATGAATTGCTGTCTTTGTTTTTATCAGCTTCATTTAAGAAAAGTCATGCATAGAAGTCGATTCATGCGGAAAAGTTCTATCGTACCTTCAATTGTAAATCGTATCAAGAGAGACCTTATCCACAACCCTTTGCACATAATATTCTCTGTGGATGTATTGAGCATGACAAAATCAACATTGGCCTCTCTCAGCAAAGGATTTGCAGAGCTTTCAACAGATAGACAATTTTTGCAATTGCGCTCGAAGCAGGTAAAAAACCTTCTCTTGTTTTTATTCTACTTGCGCCTTCTTCTGCTGATTGTCATTATAACGTTGGTGCAGATTTGGTCAAGGAGGATTACTAGTTTTGGTGATGGATTTCTTCAAGGAACAGAAGCTTTTGCACAGGGTGTGGCTTTTGGAGTAACTGGGGTGTTGACAAAGCCTGTTGAGAATGTTAGACAACATGGTTTTTTAGGACTTGCTCATGGAATTGGACGTGCTTTTGTTGGAATTGTTGTTCAGCCACTAAGTGGAGCTTTAGATTTTGTCTCGTTGACAGTAGATGGCATTGGCGCCAGTTTTGTCAAATGCTTAGACATCATAACTAACAAAGCTACTGCGCAGAGGATAAGAAATCCTCGTGCCATTCAGGCAAATGGTGTCATTAAAGAGTACTGCGAAAGAGAGGCAGTTGGGCAGGTGTGTTTTTTCCCTTTTTTTTCACATTCAATTAGATTCTGTTGGTGTCACTCTTTTTAAAATGTTAGAACCAAAATTTCTTCTTTTTACGATTTTTTTGTTCTTTGATTGCTTTACATTCTACCTCTTTTATATCACTGTGGCATTTTGATATTTATAGTAGTCATTTTGATAATTTGACAAAAGATAATTTTTTTTATTAACAGTGACAGAATTTCAACTACACTGTTGAAAATTAGTCATGAAAATTTTCTTATATGGTTTAGAAGTTTTTGAGAAATGCTCTTGACATTGTTCTAGGGCTCCTAGAAGGTGTTTGGGAAGAAGATTTAGTGGGGAGATGGTTGGGGAATGGCAAGGGAATGAGAATATGGGAGGTCAACGGAATTTGGAAGGGTGTAGGCGATGTCGGCAGCTGAAATCTGCTGTTGGACAGTTGAATCAAGCAGTTTGATGGTTGTTTGGAGTGAAAATAGCGGGTCGGTGGTGAAATTGTGAGGTGCAGATAGCGAGTAGGATTCACCACCTATTCCTAAGCAAAATACAGACATACCGGTTGCAAAAGAAAGATGATACAAAACTCCTTAGAGTATAAACCAGAAATTACAATATCTACAATACATAAAATCCAAACTAAGCCAAATATTAAATATATAAAAATTATTTAATAGAAAATAACCTAATTAGAAATATAGAAATTAGAAAGAAATCATAGAAGGAAAAAAAATATGCAGCAATTGAAAGTCGTTGCCCCAGTTCCAATTTTGGTGATTGCAGCTTCTAGCGATCCCACGGAAACTCGGTAGTTTCACGCCTGCAGGAAGGACTACAGCCCGCATCACTCTCCCCAGATAAAAGAGGCTTCTTCTTTATCGAAGGGCCTGGATCCTATTGTTGGATCACACAAAGCACCTAAGAAGATTTCCAAAGCTACGTTTCACCGCTCCTATCTGGTCATCTGTTTGTGGGTGCATTGCTAAATTAAATTGAAGCTTTGTGTTAACTTTTACAATAAAGTCTTCCAAAAGTGGCTAAGGAATATCACATCTTTATCTGAACTAGTGCTCCTGAGTATGTTATAAAGATTAACTATTTGTGACGTGTTCATTATCTTGTTTTGGCAAGGAACAAAATATATTATCTTGGATACATGGTCTACCACAATCATGCGATAATCATTATCTTGTTGTATCTGAGGTAGCTCCACTATAATATTTATGCACACGTCCATCCTAAGCAACTCTAAAATACATAGCATTTCAAAGTCTATTCTGATAGAATAAATAGTCATCCTGCTTTGACACAATCAGAGTTAGAGTATATCTAGGTTAGTAATCTCACGGATGAAATCTCTAACCATCAAGTGTGTAACATATTTTTGTAACTTCTCATACTCAACTGATCGCAGCCCATATTTGAGTGGATTTGGCAAAAAAAAAAAAACTATAATGATTTATATATAGGTTGAATCTCTCCGGTGGTAGCCACTTAGGAGGGAAATTGTTAGTTTGGACAGCTCGAAAATCCCTCAATAGTGGTTGACCATTTTTTGGTATCAGCTTTTCAGAATCACTACCTTATAGGACAATCAATGTTAATCCTGTTGGAGTCTCTCTCATAGGTAATCACTAACATTTCTCCCCTCGTCAGTAGTAAGTTGATCCTCATCTTTGACATATTCAGTCTCTTCTATGTCAGTGTCCATTTCTTGAACTGCTCTCTCCTCATTAAAAGATATATTTCTCTTCTTTGAGCAATCTGATGCAATGCATCCAAAATTGTGGCACTTAAAGCACTTTCAAACTAGGACGGAATTGAGAGTGCGGGCAACTTTCACCTTTTTCGCACTCTATACTGGTTTCTCCTTAGTAGGGTCGGTTTGGGTGTTCTAATGGGTGTACTTTTTTGTTCGATCTTATGACTGGACTCTGTTTGAAGGGTTGTATGGACATGTTACTGTTGTGTTGCCTTTTCACTTTTAGGGTAAAGGTATGGACATCATGTAATGTCCAATTGGGTTGCAACTATATTATGTTATCAATGTACGATCTCAGTCCCATAAGATATCGAGCTATGGTATTCTTCTTGAGTTTCATTAGCTCACATTTCAACATAAGCTGCTTGAAATCAGTTGTGTATTATAAGTGATGAAGTCTCAAGAACATGTCTTGTCTATAATTTGCTAGTAGGTACTTGTGTTGCATCTCTATTTTTATCTCGATTCAAGTAATGATTTTACTTTTTCCCTCATGCTAACATAGGTGTTTCGAAAATTTTCACCGCAAAGATGCACTCTTCTTTAACTTGACTGCGATTAACTTTACGTTTTTGTCAAGTGGAATGTTCGTGCACTTAAAGACCTGTTCTACTTTCTAGAGCCACTTAATGAACTCATTTGAATTCAGGCAACTGTCAAAATCTGATCTGATATTCAATGCCAAATTGATGGGGTGTCGGTTCTATTTGTCACTCCAAGCTTCTTGATGGAAAGGATTTTCTTTGTCTCCTTCATTTGGGTGGTCATCGTTGTTATTTTGGGTTATTTCTTTATGTTGGCTTCTTTTAAAATCAGCGAGTCTCCTCTATAATTGGAGAATTTCCTTCTGTTTGTCCTCCATGGTAATTTTCTGAGCATTTCGTTGAGGATTTCTCCTTTACTGCACAGCATCTTGTTCTTTCAACTAAAATTTCGACTAAAAGAAAAGTAAGGTTTAGGGTTGGGGCTAGGTGAATGATATGGGGATAATAGATTAGGTTTATTTGGGATTTTGGTTTGGGCAAGAGAGAACCTTTAAAATTTAGGATTTGTTAGGCTCAGATATCATATGACACCATTTTATGTCTCCTAGATGATGTTTGGGAAGCAGATTTATTGGGGAGATTTTGGGAATGGCAAGGGAATGAGAACATGGGAGGTCTATGGCATTTGGAAAGGGGTAGGTAACGTTGGCAGTTGAATTCTGTTGTTGGACAACCAGATCGAGCAGTTTGATAGCTTTTTGGACTGAAAGTAGCAGGTCGACGATGAAACAGCGAGGGGGATTCACCACTTGTTCGTGAGCGAGACAAAGACTTGCCGCTTATAAAAGGAAGTGGATACATAAGTCCTTAAAGTATAAATCAGATATTACAATTGTCACAATACATAAAATCCAAGCTAATGTTCTCAAACAGCTAAATACAAAATATATAGAAGTTTTCTAATACAAAATTAGAAATTGAGAATTAAAAAAAAAATCAAAGAAGGAAAAATAATATGCTGAAATTGAAGATCGGTGGTCCTTATTTCAATTCCCGTGATTATGGCTTCCCTTATCAGCTCTGAACATTCTATCTCAAATTTTGTAGCTTATTTTTTATTAGAGAATTTCAGTACATTGAATGTTCTTTAGTGTTTCAGACATTTTGCACTCCACAAGCTCTTTTATTATGCAAAAAAAAATATAATGTTCTTTAGTGTTTCAGACATTTTGCACTCCACGAGCTCTTTTATTATGCAAAAAAAAAATATTTGAATGATTTAATAATACACTTTAGTTGAGTTAAATCTTTACTTTTCTTGATTTATGTCTTATATGGTTTAGAAGTTTTTGAGAAATGCTCTTGACATTGTTCTAGGGCTCCTAGAAGGTGTTTGGGAAGAAGATTTAGTGGGGAGATGGTTGGGGAATGGCAAGGGAATGAGAATATGGGAGGTCAACGGAATTTGGAAGGGTGTAGGCGATGTCGGCAGCTGAAATCTGCTGTTGGACAGTTGAATCAAGCAGTTTGATGGTTGTTTGGAGTGAAAATAGCGGGTCGGTGGTGAAATTGTGAGGTGCAGATAGCGAGTAGGATTCACCACCTATTCCTAAGCAAAATACAGACATACCGCTTGCAAAAGAAAGATGATACAAAACTCCTTAGAGTATAAACCAGAAATTACAATATCTACAATACATAAAATCCAAACTAAGCCAAATATTAAATATATAAAAATTATTTAATAGAAAATAACCTAATTAGAAATATAGAAATTAGAAAGAAATCATAGAAGGAAAAAAAATATGCAGCAATTGAAAGTCGTTGCCCCAGTTCCAATTTTGGTGATTGCAGCTTCTAGCGATCCCACGGAAACTCGGTAGTTTCACGCCTGCAGGAAGGACTACAGCCCGCATCACTCTCCCCAGATAAAAGAGGCTTCTTCTTTATCGAAGGGCCTGGATCCTATTGTTGGATCACACAAAGCACCTAAGAAGATTTCCAAAGCTACGTTTCACCGCTCCTATCTGGTCATCTGTTTGTGGGTGCATTGCTAAATTAAATTGAAGCTTTGTGTTAACTTTTACAATAAAGTCTTCCAAAAGTGGCTAAGGAATATCACATCTTTATCTGAACTAGTGCTCCTGAGTATGTTATAAAGATTAACTATTTGTGACGTGTTCATTATCTTGTTTTGGCAAGGAACAAAATATATTATCTTGGATACATGGTCTACCACAATCATGCGATAATCATTATCTTGTTGTATCTGAGGTAGCTCCACTATAATATTTATGCACACGTCCATCCTAAGCAACTCTAAAATACATAGCATTTCAAAGTCTATTCTGATAGAATAAATAGTCATCCTGCTTTGACACAATCAGAGTTAGAGTATATCTAGGTTAGTAATCTCACGGATGAAATCTCTAACCATCAAGTGTGTAACATATTTTTGTAACTTCTCATACTCAACTGATCGCAGCCCATATTTGAGTGGATTTGGCAAAAAAAAAAAAACTATAATGATTTATATATAGGTTGAATCTCTCCGGTGGTAGCCACTTAGGAGGGAAATTGTTAGTTTGGACAGCTCGAAAATCCCTCAATAGTGGTTGACCATTTTTTGGTATCAGCTTTTCAGAATCACTACCTTATAGGACAATCAATGTTAATCCTGTTGGAGTCTCTCTCATAGGTAATCACTAACATTTCTCCCCTCGTCAGTAGTAAGTTGATCCTCATCTTTGACATATTCA